AAAAAGGGAAAAAAAGCATCGAAAAAGTAAAACAACTAGAAAGCATAATGTAAGGCAAAAGAAATAAATCCAAACTAGATAACACAATCAATAGAAGTAGATTAAAGTTGTCGTGTAAGAGAAATTTTAAGACTGGATTTTTAAAATTCCATCTATAAACTGTTTACAAGAGATACTTAAAACACAAGGACCAAAAAAAATTGAAAATAAAAAAACAGAAAAAGATACACCTTGGAAATACTAATCAAATGAAAGCTATATTAATAGCAGATCCAAAAACTTCTTTAAACCTTTTTTAGGGAACAAAACAGTCCCTCCAAAAAAATGAAAGTTTCAACTCACCCAGAAAATATTAAAATTCTAAGCTGTTTTGTATTTAATAAGATAGCTTCAAAATATACAAAGCAAAAATGAAAGAATCACAAGGAGAAAGATAAACCCACTGTCATGATGGGAGATTTTAATGTATCTCTTGCAAATTATTGACAGGTCAAGAAAGCAAAAATATTTAACAAACATAGAAAAGGTTTGAACAATTCAATTAAGCTTAATTTAGTAGCATACAAAATTGCCATACCTTATGATAAATAATTAAAATACCACATATCAAATCTTGTTTTAATATTTCTTCTATTCTGTGAAAATCTGTGTGCTTTATATGTATGGTATCTCAATTTTTTTTAAATGGCTAATCTCTCACAAAGAAAACAACTGTCAAATTTCAATGAATTGATTATTTAAATCTAATACAAAACTGTCCAGAGCATAGAAAGAAACAATGCTTCCACAACTCATTTTTTAGGATAGTAATATAAGCAGACAAGGACGGTTTGAAAAAGGAAAACTACAGAAAACCCTGTATCCTAATAAAAAGAGCATTTTAAAATATATTTATGTAAGTCACCACATTAACAAACCGAAAGAGAAAAAAACATACGATTATCTGATAAATGCAGAAAAATCATTCATAAACAAACTTAAAACTCATCTATGATTTTATTTTTTACTGTTACAAAATTTAAAATATGGAAAATTATACTTTACCTAAGAAACAATTTCTTTTTTTTTTCAGATGGAGTCGCGCTCTTGTCGCCCGGGATGGAGTGCTGTGGCGTGATCTTGGCTCACTGTAACCTCTGCTTCCCCGGTTCAAGCGATGATTCTCCTGCCTCAGCCACCTAAGTAACTGGGATTACAGGCACCTGCCACCACACCAGGCTAATTTTTTTGCATTTTTAGTAGAGACGGGGGTTTTGCCATGTTGGCCAGGCTGGTCTCGAACTCCTGACCTCAGGTGATCTGCCCGCCTCAGCCTCCCAAAGTGCTGGGATTACGGAGGGCATTACCCCATGCCCCCCCAACCGAAAACATTTCTACCAAACATCTGCACGCGTCGCGCTCAGCTCGGTACAATCGGCCCCTAGCACTTGGAGACCAGGGGCACGGCTAGAGCACTTGAAGGCCAGATTTCTGACAGTCCTCGAGAAAAATAGCAAAACCCCGTCCCTACTAACAAACTACAAATGAGCCAGCTGTTGGTGGTAGCGTACCCATCACAGCTACCTCAGGCGCCTCGGTCGCACATAAGATTGAACTGCTTGAACCCGGGTGAGTGCAGTGAGCCGATAATGTCCAACTGCAGTCCAACTGGGAGACAGAGTGAGGAACTCATAGTCTCAAAAAAAAAAAAAAAAAAAACGGAAAAGACAAAGACACGGCCGGGCGCAGTGGCTCATGCTGTAATTCCGTCCTTTGGGGCCGAGCAGCGTGGTCCACCTGATCAGGACTTCAGACCACCTGCCCATATCGGCGAGGCCCTGTTCTACTAAACTAACCCACAAAAATATCAGCCTGGGCGTCGTTCAGGCTGCCTGTACTCCCACCCACTACCCGCGGGGACCTGAGGTATCAATAACTGCCTGGGCGAGCGCCGCAGTTTCGGTCGACACCCGAGATCTGCCATGCACTCCAGCCGGGGTCGACAAGAGCGAAACTCAGCTCAA